CTGAGGTGCAAGGATCGCCAGAGCCCAGCAGGTCGAGGCTGCGGTGGAGGAGAGCAGCCACTGCACTCCAGTCTGGGTGACAGAGTGAGACTCCAACTCAACAAATAAAAATAAAAAATAATAAAAATAAAAACTGAGCCATGATTCATAAATGTTCAAATTTTCTCATTTTTAATCAAACTACTGTGTATATGTATATATGTGTATATGTGTATATAGATACAGATATGTGATATATATATGTATATAGATTATATATACACACATACATATATATGCCTTTATTTGAACGAGAATAACATTTTAAAATCCAAACTAACATTCTTGATACTTGGATAATTTCATCAATATTAAAGACCCTAACTATTTAACACAATTACAATGAAAGAGAAAGACTAAAAATTTGGACAATGTTTCCCAAGAAGCTATTACCTTTGGTTTCCCAAACACAGGTAGAAAGTGAAAATGCTGACTTTTTTTTTCTTTTTAAAAAATTTGTTTTTCCCTCTAAAGAAACCAGAAAAGATAAATATATACATATACATATTTTAAAGTGAAGTGGTCTTGCTATGTTGCCCAGGCTGGCTTGAACTCTTGGGCTCAAGCAATTACCCCCCACCTCAGCCTCCCAAGAAGTTGGGACTACAGGCATCTGCATCTGGCTTTTATTTTAATAAAAGTCTCTCCTTCAGTAATATTTGGTAACTAGCCCAAAAGAAATCAGTTTTAGATACATTGCAAACAGGTCTTGCTATCAGACCACTAGGAAGCAAAGATGATAACTGTGTGCGTCAAAAGTCTAGGTCAGCCCTAGGATCCACTGGAGAAAAGAAATCATCATTGTCACACCTAAGAGTATATTTTCAGAAGGTCTATAGATCTCGCCAGGAGACAATGAAATATCACAGTGTCCTGTCATGCAGTCCAACCAGGAGAAAAAAAAATGTTTTCAAAGAATGGTGGAAGGGGCTTTACCAATCCATTTCCCAAATTTAATCTGCAATATTTGCCAGGAATCAACATCACACTATTATTGTAATGATATATTTATTATCTTTTAAAGGTTTATACATATTATATTGTACACATTTTTAGAATAAATTACATGAGAAGTATTAGCTCATCTGTCTATACTACCAAACAAAGGATGGTGTGCTTAAAAGAAATAAAGATACAAATGAAGCTTACAATACCCCCAAGCATGGGTAATATTTTATAAATACCAAATAGTTGTGTTAGACACTATGACATCCAAATTTGGATCAACTAAATCCTGAAGAGAATTATATTTTTAAAAATTCATTTCAGTAGAGGAAAGAAACGACTTTGGAGAAAAAGAAAATTATCTTGGAAGAGACAGCACGGTGGGGCTTCTTTGACTAGAGGTCAGGGGACTAGCTAGAAAGGAGACTGCCCACAGTAAAAATAAAAAATATAAAAGGCAGCAGCAAGAAAGCTGCTGCAATGCTCACAAACGGCACTCCCTTGCCACCCAACGAATCTGAGTGACATGTCATAGGACACACAGGCAGCAAGTATCTTGCTGGAGGTAAAGGATGTCACCCTATACTTTTCCCTAGGTAGCTTGCCAGCATTTCTTTCCAGGCATGATGAATCAATCAATAGCAGGCACAAACTCTCGACTAGGCAGCTTTGATATGTTAGAAGGAAGTAGGTTCTTCAGTAATAGAAACCAAAGAATGAAATATGCCTACCTATCCCTAGTTAAAGGTAATCAAAAAGGAAGCTTGACTTCCAAAATAGTTATCTTCTATAAAAGCAAATATAAATTTATAAAAGAAGGTTGGGGGTCACGTACTATAAAGCAATAAATCAATACACAGAAATGATTCTGTAAGGTAATACATTTATAGAACATTGGTATTTCTTTTGTGAAAATACCTCTTCCTATTTTTTGGTTATGCTTTCTCTTACAAGTTTACAGTTGTCTTTTTCTATGAATTTGTGGGATATTTGTTTTAATTCTAACAACATTCAAAGAAATTCAAGGAATGAAAGTATATTTCAAAAATATAAAATACTTTTCAGGTCAACACAACACTTCTAAACAAAAAAAGTAAATACAAAAAATATTTTCTAATATATCAGGAAATTAGAAGCTAGCTAGAGTTTCATTTATTTTTCAAAACTAAAAATGTGTTTCCCATATCTTTCTGGTTAGAGCATAAACAAATCCAGAAAGTACGACTAATCCTTTCATCTTTGAAAATTTATAATGAATACAATCATTCCCTGATTTTTCAAATTAACTTAAAATTGAGATTAATGGTTTTTACTAAGCCATGAATATATTATGTTTTCTATATGTGCACTTATCAGGTTTGGGGACTATAAAATATTTTAATTAAGCTGTTATTCCTATTTTTCTATTATCAGGAAGCAATATAAATCTGCAAATTCTAAAATAAATGGATAATTCCATCTATTGGTTCTCTCATACTATTTGAAACAAGTTTCCTAATTCTAGATAACCTTCAGTGTACTCCCATGGTGATTTATCAGTTCAGAATTTTCACTCTGTCAAGGTTAGCAAGACTAAAACTACTCCTTTCTAAAGCTAAAAGTGCACAAATTTAACTGACATTTAAAATATAAAGCAAAAAAAACCAAATTGGACTCAAAAATCAGTAAAGAAAAATCTATTTTTTCCATTAACAATTTCTGAATATATCAAATGTATCAGAAATAAATAAAATGAAAATGTTTAAACACATCTGTATATGTTTACATGGTGAAAGCATATGATTATTATTTGAGTTATTTATTCTAATATTGAAATGTGAGACAGAATTATGATTGTGGCGCCCTCTGCTGGGATTTCCAGTCACAAACTTAATAGCACTATTAGCATACTAAAATAAAATTTTTGAGGCAAATGAAAAACCAATTTTTCAATCCATGATCCCTTTATGCTCAAAATTATATAAAAGTTATAATCATTATTTACTTTATTTAAACAGGACTTTATCAATTTATCATTAAGAGAAACATCAATACAGACTTTTATTTTAAAATAAAGAGTAAATATAAATATAAATGGTGCACTGAACAACATTTTTAATATGCCTAATTTTTGTGATCACTTCTGTTACAGGTTTTTGAGACTATATTTATGACAAGAGATCTTAATAAGTTACTATTTTGGTCATTTTTTTCTAATTTTCCTGCCTTGTTAGTTCAATCAAGATCATTTAAGAAATCAGAATACCCTTTATAATATTATATTTTATATTAGAAAAAAACTGAAAGAAGGTTTAGAGGTACTCATCACCAGTAATACTTAATAAAGAGCTTCCACTTATTGTCAACTCTGAGGCATGCAGCATTTTATACACCTTCTATACATTATATCCAGTCCTAAGAGATGAAAAAAATTGAGGCTCATGGAGATGATACAAATTGCTCAGATGAACTTCAGAGCCAGTATTCAGATGTAGGTGGGTATCACTTCAAAGTCTCAAATCTTTCTACCAAACAATAGACAGCAGTGAAAAAATATCCTTAATATGCAACCTCTCTGTCTGTTAATACAGCTACAATGAGGTGTGGGGTATGACATAAGTTGATGGGAGAAAAATGTTATAGAAGGATAGGTTATTCGTGCCTAAAATGATAATCCAGACCTTTAGGAATTTATTTTTATTTTACATAATGCTGCCAGCTAGTGGCCCTATTTCATACTGAGTCAACTGGGAACAATACTAGACTTTTATGTCACTGCATTAGAAATTCTGCATTTAACATTCTAGGATCCTGTTCTCAAGTTATGTACGCATAAGCTTGACTTAACGACACTTAACATTACCCCAGAACTAAAGGAGAATGTCTCCTCAACCATCATTAGCATCTTTTGCCCAGGTCTTGCCAAGTAACAAATATGAGATATTCCTAAGTGGGAAAGATTCCAGTAAAATGCCAACATGCAGAAACTACACCTGTCACTATCCATGAAACAGAACCTGCATTATTTAAAATATTCTGGAATAATCTTAGGATATTCATAGATTCCTTAGTGACCCAATACATAAATAGGAAGTTTTTTCTATAAAATTAAAAGCTTGTCATAACGTAGACATAAGAACAAAAGTATTACCTATTACAGGATATAATTTTATACAAATCCACACATTTAATAAAACTACAGTGTTAGTAAAATATGTTATTTAAATTTAGACATTAGTTACAGCTCTGAAATTTCTTTTGAGAGAAAAGTATTACAGGACTATTTTTATGTAATAGTATTACATGTAAAATGAATATTTCACTGATAATTCACTATCTTAAGAGAAATATTCTATGCAAAAAAAATATTAAAAAGTGCACAGCTCCTATCATGGTATGTTGTTTAATTCAATGGCATAAAGATAGCCTTGGTTGATATATTTCCTCATATGAAACTAATTATAAGAATTCTAAGCATTTTAAGCATTATAAGTAATTTTCTCAGTGAAAAGAAATCTATGGCTTAGATGAAAGGTCAAGGCTTAAATGAAAAGTCAATATATTTTTATAATATCATAATACTGTATAAAACAAAAACACTCTGGCATCAAAGTATATTAGCATCAAGGAGAACATTTTCTGGGTTTATTCTATGGTGAGAGAGTGAAGACTCATAGAGTGGCAAAGAGAGCACCCAAAACACAGCAAAGGAGGAGGAAACAGCCCTTCTGTTGAATTAACCAAGGCCAAAATGGGAACAAGAAACAAAGCAACAGTATCGGAGAGTCCAGTGTTCCTTCTGACCTACATTCTGTCTTGTACAGACACACATCCCGGCAATGTATAGAAACTGCGGTTCTCCATTTAGTAGGTGCATCTTATAGGAAGCTTATTTTGAAGTTAAAGGATACATGTCTAGAAAGTATATAAATACACATATGCACCTTTAATGAGTAAATAAACATTAGTAAGAAAAAACACACCAACTATCAATTCACTTTTTAAAACACTAAATATAGAATGAGTATAGAACTTACAAACATTTCCTGTATTATCAAAGCTGGTAAGAACATCTTCAACATTGAAGGATCCACTCTTTTGCCTAGAATGAGATACAGCATTTTCTTTAATGATTTTGAAATATTAACACTTTTTAATTTTTAAAAAAGCTGAGACTGTATATTACCATACACCTGAGAGTAAGAAACTCTTCCATGCTGTATTTTAAAAATATTTTCTGCCCACTAGAGGGAGAAGGAAAAGAAATAACAATGTAGTCCTTAGAATATTCAATGTAATTACATTTTTTGATGATTAATCTATATCTTAAAGTATTAAGAAATAATTTTAACTGTTGCTGTTTTCACTATATAAAGGTAAGTTGTCAACTCTTCTAAAGACAAAAAAAAAAAAACCACATTACACTTAAAAACTCTTAGAGCCGAAAAATAAACAATCACCCTCCAAACCACACTCAACAATGCATAAATTTCTTCTACAGGAGCACAACAAATTCATTTACAAAGAACTAACCACACTCCAGGACTGCACATTTCACCATAGAGAGTTCTAAGTATCAGTGAGCAAATTTCTTTGTATCTCTACCCACTTTGAATTCTATCCCTTTAATTATAATCTCTCTTCACTTAATAGTTCTTTAAATATTTGACTTGATACTGATGTTTTATTAATATTTACAAAAGATACTATTCTTTATATGCAAATAGGCCATGTCAATAGATCATGGAGTTTGAGACACTTTTTCAGTGGTGATAAAAAAACTGGCACTAATTCATCTATAATTTTTTATATTCTCTCCCATTTAATTTACAGCCATAGTTCCTTAAATGTTATAACAGTTTATAATAACCATTAATAATTCACAAAAATTTACCTCATCATATTAATCTTGTCATTAAAAATAAATAACAACATTATGGACTGAATTGTGTCCCTCCCTTCCTCAACTCCCCCTAAAGGATATTAGGATACAGAGACACAAAGGAAGAGACAGGGAAAAGATGATCACTGACAAGCCAGGGAGAAAGGCTCAGAAGAATCCAAACCTTCAATACCTTGATCTCAGACTTCCAACTCCCGGAACTACCAATCCTACTGAAGGCATTCCAGGCGATTGAGAAAGATGGAACTCTCCCCAAATCATTTTATGAAGCTAACATCACACTGATACTCAAATCAGGTAAAGACCCAACAAAGAAAGAGAACTACAGGCGAATATCTTTGATGAACATAGATGCTAAAATTCTCAACAACATCCTAGCAAACCGGATTCAACAACACATCTCAAATATCATCCATCATGACCAAGTAGGCTTCATCCCTGGGATGCTAGGCTGGTTCAACATTCGTAAAACCATAAATGTAATTAAATACATCAACAGATGTCAAAACAAAAACCACATGATTATATCATTAGATGCAGAAAAAGCTTTTCATAAAATGCAGCACCCCTTCTTGATAAAAACCCTCGAACATCTAGGTATACAGGGAACATACCTCAAAATAGTAAAAGCCATCTATGAGAAGCCCACAGCCAGCATACTCCTAAATGGACAAAAATTGGAACCATTTCCCCTGAAAACTGGAACAAGACAAGGATGCCCAGTCTCACCCCTCCTGTTCAATATAGTATTGGAAGTCCTGGCTAGAGCTATCAGAGAAGAGAAGTAATCAGGGGTATCCAAATAGGAAAAGAGGAATCAAGTTATCTCTCTTTGCAGATGACATGATTGTGTACCTTGAAAACCCAAGAGAATCTGTCAAAAACCTCCTTACACTGATAAAGGCCTTTGGCAAAGTCTCAGGATATAAAATAAATGCGGATGGAAGGCTGAGGCAGAAGGATCATCGGAGCCCAGCAGATAGAGGCTGCGGTGGCCGGGAGCGGCCACTGCACTCCCGTCTGGGCGCCTGAGTGAGACTCCAACTCAAAATAAATAAATAAATAAAAATAAATGTGCAAATGACAATTGCATTTCTTTACACCAATAATAAACAAACAGAAACCCAAATAAAAACCACAATTCCAATCACAATAGCCACAAAAAAAATGAAATACCTTGGCATCTTCCTAACCAGAGATATGAAAGACCTTTACAATGAAAACTACAAAACACTGCTCAAGGAAATCAAAGATGACACAAACAAGTGGAAAAATATCCCATGCTCATGAATTGAAAGAATCCACATTGTGAAGATATCCATCTTACCTAAGGTAATCTACAGATTCAATGCAATACCCATCAAATTATCAGCAACATTCTTCTCAGACCTAGAAAAAACAACATAGGAATTCATATGGAAACAAACGACCAAGAATAGCCAGAACAATCCTCAGCAAAAAAAACAAAGCAGATGGTATCACATTACCAGACTTCAAACTTTACTATAAAGCTGCAATCATCAAAACAACTTGGTATTGGTATAGGAACAGGCATATAGATCAATGGAATAGAATTGAGATTCCAGAAGCAAAACTTCAATTTCTCAACCAACTCATCTTTGACAAAGCCTCCACCACCTACCACTGGGGAGAGAACCTATTCAGTAAATGGTGCTAGGAAAACTGGCTGACCACATGCAGAAGATTGAAACAGGACCCCGATCTATCCCCATACACAAAAATTAACTCCAAATGGATCAGAGACCTAAATGTAAAACCTCAAACCATAAGAAACTTAGAAAATGAAGGACATACCTTCATGGAAATCGGAACTGGCATCCAACTCCTGAACAAAACCTGAAACCCACAAGCCATAAGAGAGAAGATAGACAAGTGGGACCTCATTAAACTGACAAGCTTCTCCAAAGCCAAAGAAACCATCAAGAGAGCAGGGAGACAGCCCACAGAC